GGCGGGTGTCGGCAGCAGCTGACTTGGGGACACCTGGGGTAGAGCAGCTGGGGTGCTGCTGGGTTGGTCCCTGCAGCGCCGAGGTGCGGCGCTGCGGGGACCTACCCGGCAGCGCCCCAGCTGCTCTGTCCCAGGTGTCCAGATTCAGCTGCTGTTGAAACTGACCAGCAGCTGATTCCAGGAAGCCCGGGTCAGAGAAACTCTGCCTCAGGCTTCCTGTAGTCAGCCGCTGGTCAGTTTCAGCAGTGGCTGAATCTGGACGCCAGTTCCGACTTACGTACAAATTCAACTTAAGAATGAACCTACAGTCCCCTATCTTGTACGTAACCCGGGGACTGCCTGTACCATCATTGGCAAAACAGCTAAAATGAAAATTTCTGCAAACCCATTAAGTGCTGGGAGTGACATTAGTTTAGCCACACTATACATTCTGAGTAATTTTTGGTATATATTAAATATGAAACCATTCATTTAACAATATAAAAACAGCAAGGATATAGTCTGCATGTTATGCAACTTGTCTGACAATGTTGCTGAAGCAATCCAAACTTCTCTATTCCTGGCTTTTTAATTTTAATGGTTTTAGTTGTTGCTTTTGCATTTAATTGGAAACTATAAATATTTCACTGTTTGCAACTGAGGGACTCAATTATTGTGAGAAGCTGGAAGTTTCATATTGCATTTTAATGCCTTATTGTTTATCATGAACTAAGAAATGCTTGCTGAACTTTAACAGTTTATAGTGTAATGACTAAAAATAGTCAATTTAGAGACATAAATCAAAGGATATTTTAAAAACATCACAAATGGTGTCAGTCTCTCACAGAAATGTACACTGAATATAATGTTAATACAGACAGATTGAACCTCTCTAGTTGGGCACTCTCTGGTTTGTTATCTGTGGTCTGGCATAATTTTAGTTAGCTGGATGTACGCTTTTCAAGGATGTGGCCACGTTTTCCACAGTTCCATAAAGTTTGTTTACAGCCACCAGTCCTGGCTCTTAGTGTTCTGTGCTGTTATTTAGCTCTAATTTATCCCTAAATATTGACCTCTTGTGGTTTGGCAAATTCTCTGGTTTGGCACTTTTCAGGTCTCGAGAGAGCCGGACTAGAGAGTGTTCAACCTGTAACAGTATTTGTATTAATGAGAATTCTCTAATGGCAAGTACAGTGCCTTCTATAGCTCCCCACAGGGATCTTCTTCCTCGGGGTATAATGCCTGAAAATTAGAACAGACTTAAAGAGAAAAGACTGTATTAAACTGGTCAAAATATGAGGGCCTGTAATCAGGTACTTCAGGATTTTAACCATTTTCCAGGCACAGGTATGGGTTATTATGGGATATCAAAATAATTTTCTTGGACAAAGCTGCAGACATACACGTGGGTTATGTCTACACTAGCATGATTTTCCGAAAATGCTTTTAACAGAAAAGTTTTCCATTAAAAGCGTTTTCGGAAAAGCACGTCTAGATTGGCAGGATGCTTTTCCGCAAAAGCACTTTTTGCGGAAAAGCGTCCGTGGCCAATCTAGACACGGTTTTCTGCAAAAAAGCCCCGATCGCCATTTTGCGATTGGGGCTTTTTTGCAGAAAACAGTACTGTGCTGTTTACACTGGCCCTCTTGCGCAAATGATTTGCTCAAGAGGGCTTTTGCCCTAGTGGGAGCAGCACAGTATTTCCGCAAGAGCACTGATGATCTTACATGAGATCGTCAGTGTTCTTGTGGAAATTCAAACGGTCAGTGTAGACAGCTGGCAAGTTTTTCCGCAAAATCATCTGATTTTGCAGAAAAACTTGCCAGTCTAGACACAGCCTTGGAGGCCAGGTTGAGGCCACTTTCCTTTATCTGTGCCAGTCACCTTCAGAGCACATGGATGTGGCACACAAAACCCAGGAGAGAGAATCTATATAGAACAGGAGTGGGCAATACTTTTTTATGTGGAAGCCACTCCAAGATTTTGGCGAGTGGTCGAGGACTGCACTCTTTCATGATATTAATGGAGGAAGTATGGGGTCTGAGATGGAGGTTGGGTGCAGAAGGGAGTTTGAGGATAAGGAATTGGAGTGTACGGTCTGGCAGGGACTTTGGGTGAAGGAGGCGGTTGTGGACTGGGGTACAGGGCATTAGGTTGTTGTCTAGGGAAAGGGAGAGGGGTACAGGAGGCAGTGCAAGAGTTTGGGTTGTGACCTAGGGCAGGAGGGTATTGTGATCTAGGGCAGAAGATTGGGGTGCAGGGTCTGGGAGAGGACATGGGCACAGGAGAGGGGCAGAGGGTTTGGGTATGTGGATTAGAGGTAGGAGTGGGGGGCAGAGGGTTGGGGAAGGGTGGGGCTGGGCACTAGGATCTGGCCAGGAGACTTACCTGGGTGTCTCCCGGCCAGCAGCCCAGCCTGTTTCTCAGGCAGGCAGCCTGCCCTGCCCCTGCACAGGCTGCAGTGCCATGTGCATGTGTGAATAACTGAGCCAGAGAGGAGGGGGAGCATGGTGCTTTGTGTTATTCAAACAGGCATCTCCCATTGGCTGGTTTCTGGCCAGAAACTTGACCAGTGGGATTGTGCTAAGGATGGGGGCAGCACCTGAGGCCTTGTCCCCTCCTCTCTGGTCTCACAGTTGTGAAGAAACAGCCTGGCAGTTGCTTTTCTGAGTGTCATGGGGGAGAGGGGACGGCGGTGAAGCAAGCAGGAAGGCTGCCGGGGGCTCCACGCAGCATCCATGGGCTGGAAACCGGTGGCTTGATGGGATGGATCTGAACCACAGGCCATATTTTGCCCAGGCCAAAAAATGGATCCAATCCTGCAGTAGTTATTATCCCAAAAACCCTACTGCTGAGATGAGGATTGTAGGATCAATTTTGCTATCTTCAGAAAACAGGAATTACAGGAAAATAACTATCTTTTTCATTATGTTAGGTCAAAAACCAATTAACAAACACACCATCCATGATGGAATTGTCCATAGTATACAAAGATCTCCATTTTTCAAAGACATCATTCTTAGTGTTGGAGGCTGGAATTTTGCCATATGGAAAGAAGGTGTTTCAGTAAGTTATTTTGATAACAGACATGGTACAGTTGATGGAGAAAAGAAGAGAGTAACTGAAGTATATAGCCTTACGGACAATACTCATGGAAATGATGGCAAATGGTAGAGCCTCTGCTAGTTTGAAAATAAATTGGGTTAAAAAATACGCTATTTTTCCTGCCAGAGCTAAGGTTTTAAAAATAGTTGTGTAAACTTGGCTCCAACGCAGGAAGCAACTTTCTCTAATTCCAGCTTTGGTGACTCTTGTGGCATCTGCCCAGGCTATTTCAATTTCCAAGTAGTCTCAGTCAGAGGAGGCTGAGAGTAGAGATAGGATGTGCTTAACTATGCTATAGGCTAAAGTAATTTGAACAGAGAAAGCAGCAATAATCCACTCTCTCTTTTTGTCCCTGGGAGTTATAGCACATTGAAGGGGAACGTGACTAGTCATAGGGAAAAGGAAATGTACTATTCTAGCCTAAAAATAGCAAAGGCAAGGATGGCTATGGTAGAATCTATATCAGTGAGGAATGGGTGCAGCAGTCTTTTGGCCAGCCAAATATATATTTAAAAAAAAAAGTTCCGTACAATTACTGCCTTCTTGGAATCGAGAACTTTACTTTTTTGTCTTGTTTGTCAATAGACAGACTCCCTCAGTTGAGGAAATGGGCATTAGCTTTTCCACTTCCCTATAACACTTCTCTTTACCAGTCAACAATAGACACACTGGTTTTGACACCATAATTATTTGTGTAATGGGATCACTCAGAAATGGTGATAGTTCTTACATTACACAAGCAGGAGACTTGAAAGAGCTCTGACTGGGTGGTGGTTGGTGTGTCTGTCTGTCTGTCTGTATGATTGCCTTGGTTTCTTTTACATTGGCTTTTTATTTTTTTTAAGAGTGGCCCAATCCTACAATCATGCTGCTCATCAAAAAGATACACTGTAGGACATTGGTCCTTATCGAGGGCAGGAGTTTTCTTCATTGGTAGAGAAGATGGAAATATTGATATTTGGGACCTACTGGAAAAAACGCATGAGCCATCCCAGACCCAGAACATCTCCATATCAATGATCACCTGCATCAAACCATGGATCATTTCTTGTATGTTAACAGAGATTGCACTTTTTCATAACACTGTATTAAAAAAAATTACATCATGATCCTGGAAAGGCTTATGCTTAACCTACCTTTATACACTGAACATAGTTCCACTGAAGTCAGTAATACTTCACACAGTGAATAAAATAAAGCACAAAAATAAATCTTTTTGGCATTGGGACCTTCATGTTATATTATTATTACACAAGCAACTAAGCACCATTTCTTTCATTTTTTAATACAGGCAGTCCCCGGGTTATGTACAAGATAGGGACTGTAGGTTTGTTCTTAAGTTGAATTTGTATGTAAGTCGGAACTTGTACATATTGTAGGGGAAACTCTAGCCAAACATTTCTCCAGAGCTCAGTTTTATTCTCCCACACCTCACTTCCCTCAGTCCTTTATTCTCAAGCTGAGGTGTCTGCTGAGAAAAGCCGCTCCGCGTCTCTCTGGTCTGCTGAGGGGGGCGCTAGCTTCGCGTCTCCCTGGTCTGCTGGGGGGAAGCAACTAGTGCGGGGTTGCCTCACCCCGTTTGTAAGTAAGGATCCGATGTAAGTCGGATCCATGTAACCCGGGGACTGCCTGTATTACAAAAATGGTATTGTTTCTTTTGAAAAGGTAAAATGTTTTTGTGTAATAAGGAACATTTAATTATCAAAAAATAAGACAAAATAAAGCTATTTTTGCTGCAAAAAGTTAAAAAATACATTGTAACAAAAACAAGTCTTTGGGAGCTGGTCACACACTGTTTACAAAGATAGATAGATGTATACACTTGCTTATATTTTGCCACAACTGAAGAGATTTATGAGGTTTAAATATTTTATGGTTGAATCTGTGCATTTGAAATACAAATATTTTTCACATGATGTAAGAGTTATCAAATGATACTTGCTTTTTCGGTGGGAAACCATCAAAACTGCAGACAAGTTCCATTACTAGACCATAAGCACTTTAGGGCAGGAGCCATCCTTTCTTTGGGTAGAATGCCTAGCACAGTAGAGACCCAATCCATGATGAGGTTCTCAGCATAACCACAAAAACTAATATGCAAGGACTCAACTTTATTGGAATTTTGTATGGATAGACGCCTTAGCTGAAATGCTAATTAGTAAATGCTGGAATTCATAGTTAACAAGGTGCCAGCACAGTAATTTTCAGTGGATCAGGACACTGGCTCATTTAATCCACTATCCAAGAGTGACCAGTACCAACCACATACTTAAGAGGAAAATGCAAGAATACCCATAATGGACAATCATGGAATAAGTTAGAGGAATTTTCTTCCTAATCTATCAGCTAGTGGCTGGCTTATGTCCCGCAGTCTGGGGTTATACAAACATTTTAATTTACTTTCTTCATTCTTCATAATAGCATGGTTGGTTGTTTTGTTTTTATAATCTTACAGCAAAGCAGCACTTTTTAGCTGTATCTGATGACTTTGGAACACTGCATATTTTAGAAATCTCATGGACATTAAGTCATCCTTCCAGCAATGAGGTTTGTAACATTTTCTACTTACCCGTTAAGTGACTGCATATCTTGTGGGTTTTCATGAAGTGTTTTTTTCAGGCACATCCTTTTAGGATATTGGATTCCTACAAATTAAGTTGATTAATTTGTATTTGATCTACAGTTGTGATCTCGTAACATCTCATAAACCAAAACTGAACCTGGTGGGAGACCTCAGAGAAAAACCAGTTGTTGCAATAAGCAGAGTTGTCATGACTCATCATTACAACCAGACAATGGGAAAAATGTAGACAAAGTATCCGAACAGTAGAAATATTTTTTGCTCTGTGCATAAAATGCAGCAGGTTTCATAAACTATATTCTATACATTTGCCTTGAAATTTTTCTTATAAAATTTTGCATAGCTCTAAGGAAGTCAGTGACTTCAAAAGAGGCATGCTGATTTATGCCATCTGAGGATCTGACTTTAGATCTTTTAGGATCTGATCCTGCAAACCTTTACTTACGTATCTAGTCTCTATGAACTCATTGGGACTGCTCCTGAGAGTAAAAATGATTACATCATAAGTTCTTTGGGGGCAGCGGCTGTCCTGTTCTGTGTCTGTACAATGGGGTCTGGAGCTGTAATATTACAAATAAATAATTTGCATCCATTGTATTAATTAGGTGCTGATTTTGCATGTCTTTTCTCTCTCTCTCTTTCATTCAGTTTCTCCCAATTTCTTCTCCCCACCTGAAAACAAGTTAGGAACCCCCTCTCACTCATTCTTGCACTTTTTTTTCCCCACAGCTTATTCTATTCTCCCTCTTCTCTTTCCTTCCCCAAACCACTCCTTCTCATAACCCCCACCTTCCTCTTACTATTTATAGACTCATGTACATTGTAAACTTACTATGAAGTTAAACAATATAAATATACAATATAAACTTGCACTACTTGTGCTCATAAATATTCACAAATGGTGTTATGTATCTAATTACATTAAAATCTTTACATTCTGTTAACACTCTAAAATCTTGAACAGTCCTGTTAGGGAAACAGGTGTGCGGTATTACAAATAACTGTGATAGTGGAGCAGTGGAGTTGGATGGGTGGGGGTTTATGCAAAAAGATAACTCAGGGATGGTTTACACACAGACCTGGATTGATTTAACTAAATCCTTATTTTAAAACCAATCGAGTTGTATTAGTACAAGATTGTGAGTGGTCATTCTTGTTCCACAATGAGAGTGGGTAAAGTTAGTTTTTTGTTGAGACTATAAAAAATTACTTTAGCCACACAGAGACTTATACCAAAAATATCTATGTTTGTTTTAATAATTTCTTATATTATTTTACTGTAAGACTGTGCATAGAACCACATTAATATAGGGAAATTGGTAACAGCATTATGAGATTTATCAGGAAATGGTCCATGTACTACGTTACTACAGAATTTTGTACTTAGTTCTGTATATTTAAAAAGATACTTTAAAGCAATGCATTATTACTGTAGATGGATTATATGCTGAAAAATGAAATAAGATTTACTGTGATCATCACAAACCATACTTGTCTTTGGTTTAATAGCATGCCAGTGTTTTTCATTACTTTGAGAGAGAGATCAAACATCTAGATTTTTTTGAACAACGGCAAGAATTCCGAGCCAAAGAAAGAAAGGAATTGGAGCTGGAAAAACAAAGAAAGAAGATAGTAAGTTACGTTCAGGGGGCAAAAAAGCTAGTTCATTTATTTTTATTTATAAAATATGCCTCTGTTTGATCTAGGTAAAATTTCCTGTGGTATTTCTGTTAGGTTTTATAAATTAAAAATAACTTTTGTTTAGCATTTTCTAAGTAAATCCAAACTGACCACTTTCATATTCATAGACTACTCCGTTATTTGGGGGAAGAGAATATACTGGACCAATTCATGCTTAGAGCTTCAGTTCTTACTCAGCCAGCACTCACTTTGACTTCAGTAAAGTTAGAGAAGAGATAAATTTGACGCTGTTTAAGAACTCATTATTTTCTTTCCTCTTTCCCCTAGCAGTTCATTTGAAATATTACTTTAGATCCCCTTTTATTATGAGTATTATACTTTACGGTCAGTAGGCAGAGGCCCCAAACCTTCAGCCCTTATATATAGCAGTAGTGTCATTGGAATGAGTAGGACTGTTCATGTAATGATTGCTGCTGTGAATAAGGTCTCCATGCCTGAGCCCCACCTGCATAGAGCTATTACAAGAGTTGTATATAGATGCTTTTCCCAGTTTGATATTTTAATTAATATTTTAATCAGATTTGTTTTTTCTTGCTTGTGTGCCCTCCATATCATGTTGTTGGGAACATGTTATATACAATGCTGTTATTACCATTGACCGTAGCAAATCGGATATGCCCGATTCAATGATTCCCCCTTGCATAGAGAAGGAAATGTAGTATCATATAGAACATTATATACCAAGAGTCCTATGTGGTATGTGAAAGGAAGTGAGCCTTGAATAGATGGTGAGGACTTGTCCTATTGCAAGGGCTTGAAAAATTAAATCGATCCAATAGCTCTGTATCAACCTGACTAATAAATGATGTTACCCACCTGATGAAATGACAACTCTGTGCACATGGTTCTCAGTGATGCTCCATTCCTGATTATACAGTTAATAAGGAGGAGGTGAAATAGACAGCACTGATCACTGACTGAAAAGCAAAGGAATCGTATTCATGTTTCAAAGCTAACAACAGCTAATAATGAACTATTGATTACTTTTTCCTCAGAAAGTGGCTGGTGGACAGAAATCAAGAGAACAAATGGAGGAGCAACTGAATGTAAATTATGCAGATTTTCTGGATGAAGAGAAGAAGATCCTGACAGCACTTGGGCTACTGAAAGTGACAGACAGATTTGCCTAGAAAAGAATGTGATGAATGTGCAGTTTTTACCCCAGGAGAGGTTATTTTGCTTCCTTGCTTTCTTGGGAAAGTTGTATATATTCAGTTAGCAGTGCCTTTAGCATGATAACTGTACATATGAATCATTTCACATCTATCTTACTAGCTTTGTTAAGGTGTTTGCTCATAGCAGCAGGTAAGAGTAAACTTTATGCATATTCCTGCACAGTCTTTCATTAAAAAATATAGTTACAAATGAGTCATCTCCTGGTTTAATAGCATTATTTTAAGTTGTCCTATTCTTTTATTGTACAGTGAACCTCTCCAGCGCTGTGGCTGCTGTAAAAATATTCAATTAAGAAAATCTACTCAGTAAGTCAAAATAAGACCACACCATACTCCCTTGCAAACTGTTCCCATTTGGATAGAATAAAGATATTAATATTTCTGCTGCTCAGCTCCCATAAATTTCTTCATGCCAACTTACTTCATCTACAAAGCATTCAGTTCCCCTGGAAAAGCTGAGGAGATTATTTTTGTAGCATGTCCCGAAGGTCCCAAATCTGGGCAGGTCATGAACCAAGGGAAAAAGAGAGCTCTAAAGCCAATGACATTCTGCCACTAGCCTTCTTTGGTTTATACCAGAAGGGACCTGTCAGCACCTCAAGGTGACAATAACTGTCCTGGTAACATATGAAGAGAAAGAGGTAGTCCTCTGAGGTGGCTGGTACTGAAGCCTTTAAATGTCATAAATAACACCACACATTTCACCTGAGCACGTCATGAAACCCTAGTCTCCTGTGCTCTTGTTATGGAAGCCCAGTTCATATGCTAGCAGGGTCATCCTTAGGATTTATGGGGCCCTTTGCAGTATTATTAGACTAGTGTCCCTATGCCCAACGGTAGTCGGGGAGGGAGTAGAGATATTAAATTTAGATTGAGTAATTGAATAGTGGATGCAATTTGAATCCACTATTCAATTAGTTGATAGAGCACTTCCGCCTTTGAAATGTAGCAACAGCACTAGGGCTGTTGCTACGCTTCAAAGGCAAAAGTGCTGAAGGGAGCATGGGGCCAACGGGGTAGTCCCCTGCTGGCCCCGCGCTTCCCACGGTGTTTCAAAGTGGCAGACTCCTGCACTGACCCTGAGCTCCATGTGGCACTGCTGCTTTGAAACGCTGCGGAGAGCCCAGTCCCAGGCAGCATTTCAAAGCAGCAGCACTGCACGGAGCCTGGGGCAGAGGGGGAGTCCCCAGCTCCACACAGCATTGTTGCTTTGAAACACCCCAGCTGGCCCCCGGCTGCACGCGGTGTTTCACAGCGGCAATGTTGTCTGGAGCCTGGGATCTGGCCTCAGGCTCCACGTGGCACTGTCACTGCCACTTTGACGTACCTGCTCCTCTTCCCTCCCTCCTTGCTTCTTCTTTCTGATAGAGACAGCAAGGGGAGGGAGCGACTAGTCATTCACATCCCTAGGAGGGAGACCACAATTTTTTTAGAAATGTGATTTTATAATCTTCAGCAAAACACTAATGAAATATTTTTTAAAGCAAATTGTAAACTAAGATCTTGTAGACTAACACAGTAAATTCAGAAACTGACAGTATATACCTGGGGTTGGTAAATTCCTGTTAAATGGCTTCATTACCACTGAATGGCTCTTTCACAGATTTGATGTCCTTCTAATACCAATCCCTCTGGCAGGCTTTATCACTTTTAAATTAATTAGATCCTCTCCAGAGAAAGCAGAGTCACAGAACACAGATAGGAAGAGGTGGGTGGGTAGTCATTAATACCCAATAGTGCCCCAAATGTTTAGGTGTCCTACACAATTGCGTACTCAGCCTGTGGATAAAGATGACTCTCTATGTTAGTTATGTTTTTTAAAAGAACAAAAATATGAGCTAAATACTCAATGATGAGATTTTGATGAATCCTGGTAACTTCAGAAATGATGCTTTAGTGGCTTGCTACGATTAATGGAACCTGGAAGTGTGTATTCCTTACCTAGTTTTCCTGTGTTGTAATTAACTACAATTTGCATATAGTTAAAGGCAAGCACGAGATTCTTTTAAAAGTGTTCTTCATAAATTTCATGCTAGATGGGTCTCGTTATTCCTATCTGACATTTATTTTAAGGTTCAGTTCATAGTTTGATTTCAACTGATTAGGAATAGTGGAAAGATGGATAGGAGAGTAGTCACCGAGGTACTGTAGGCTCTCACTTTTTTATTTGCATGCTGCAGTTTTTGAAGGTTATTTTGTGAAGAACTGGGTGGTTCCAGATTACCAATGGAATCTTTAACAACATGAAATGAGTTGTCAGGCTCAATCGAGCTTTGAATAAATGTCACAAAAATCACCAGCATAATAATTGACACGGAGTGGCCATTTTGTTGTCAATCACTTTGGAGAGACCAAAGAATGTAAATGGAGACATAATTGCTTTCATCTCTGAGGATGTTCACATCTGATGAGGGCTGAGGAGCACTTATAGGGAACAATTCTGCTCTTTTTGTGGAATCGAATGAATACATTGTGTGGAACACTTTGTGTGAATGGTATAAGAACCAAATGAACAGACTAGAGCTCTCAACCAGGACTATTTCTGATAAAAACTCTGTTCTCATTTTCCTTGGTTCTCTCACAGATCTCTGATGTCATGGCTGTGTATCAGAACACAGCTTAGCTGTATAAGGCCAGTGTAAGAGTTCTTATTCGGTCCTGAGTCCCTGCCCTGTACGTCCTAGCCCTGTGGCCCCTTTAAGACCAGAGCCAGAAGGCAGGCCAATCAACCAACAATTCCCTCACCATCAAAATGGTGGCCTGGGCCCCGGTTCAGGGCGAGGCAGGCAAATAAACAGTCTCGGCAGTCCAATGCCAGCCCAGGCTCTGGTTCAGGGTGAGGTAGACAAGCAAACAGTTTCTACGGCACAAGTAGAGAGGGGAAGACTGCCACCCAAAGGCAGAGGCCCTCCCTACTTCACCACGTCCCGGCCTAGGGCCCTAGCAGTGGCAGCCTTGCAGCCACTGGGGTAAGCAGGGGATCCACACCGAAGCCTGCTGACCCAGTTTAAAGGGTGATCAGATCCGCCTGATCATCTGTTGCTTCCCCTGGGCCACTTCCAGAATCCCCCTCTGGTTGTACCTATTCCCCCAGTCAGGGGTGGTCCCCAGGGTCTGTATGGTTCCAGTCTAGCGGTAGGGAGAAAAGGGTCCCTTCCTCCGGGCTAGGGCTTGGTGGCCCAGGCCAGTTGCCCACAACCATCTCCTCAGCCTTCTCAGGGTAGGCCTCTGCTCCCTCCAACAGCCAACCCCTTACAGTGTTTCTGGGCCTAGCTTTTATACTTCCTGCTCCTCCTCCAGGCTGCTGCGGACTTAAAGGGGCAGGCTCCAGCTCAACCCATCCAGGCTCAGAGAGGGGTTCTCCCTCCTCGGAGTCAGTGAGCGGCCACCCCTGCTCACTACAAGCAGAAAGCGTTCCTTCTTCAATAGAGAAATCCACAAACCAAAATCCTGAATGGATGCAAACTGGATCTTGGGGAGAAACTGAGTACAAACATCACAGCACTTGATTATGGATGTTCTCGACACCGACTACATAGGGCAAAATGGTCCCATGGCAGTAGCTTGAATTAGAGGGATACCAGCAAGTTATAATATACGTAACATTTTCTTTTAACTAAAATTAAAAGAACTATTTACATTCTAATTGCTTTTCATGATGGATGCTTTCTTGTTTGTTTTAATTTCTGTCTTTTTAGGCAATGGAAATAGATTATTCAATTCCTCTTATGTCTAGTTAGTTTCATGTGCTGGTTCTAAAACTTTGCAACAGATGTCTGAGTTGACAACATTACAGTGAAAATCTTTAAAATAAAGAAAGTTTTTATTCACAGAAAGGTGTAATTTGTTTTAGCTTTTGTAAAATCTTATTAATAGGCCTAAAATTTGATCCAAATTGACCTGCCAATAAAGCCTTAAACAACAATATCATCATGCTTTTGCTTTAAGAGAGGCAATTAAATTCTTAACCCATTCTACTGAAAATATGCTTAATGGCACTCTCTCTCACTTATATATAAGTTTTTCCTGCTATGCAACCAGAATAAGATCGTCATCCTACTTGGAAGTGGAGTTGCAGTGTCTCACTTACTTGCACTTCAACTGGAACCAACTGCGAAACTGAGCTCTGTCTGTAGATCCGTCTGTAACATATAGTACATAAACAATAGACTAATTACCAGGTTTTTTTCTAAACAGCTTTGTTCACTTTTCTGTATAACACCAGTGCAAGATTTATATAATCAATGCAAAATTAACAGGTTCTCTGGCCAGGAAAGTGGCCAGAGAGAGGGGGCTTGACAAGTGTAGCGAGCACAGGGCACAGCTCCCTATCAACTATATCAATTTACTCCATGAGAAAATGATGAATTTTAATTTTGGACAGTCTGTATTATGTTAATTTACAGCTCCATGTAATTTGTTTTAAACAATAATATGTTTTATAACTTTGAGGCTGATCCTTTTCCTGTTAGAATGTGCTGATCCAAAAATCACAAATCTAGCCATTCCAGTTTCTGCAGACTGGAACCTCTCTGCTTAAAATAATCATTTTGTTCATCAGATTATAAAAGGATTCCTAATTTAAGATTAATATATGCTTAAGCAGAAGACTAGACCCATAAAATATGTTATATTAGTCCAGTTTTACTAAACACATAGAAGATGTTGCTGCTTGGATTTTCACTGAAAAGTAATTCTTCCTGAGAAACGAACCATGTGCTATACAACAGCTTTAATATCCACAAGTGTAAATGAGTTACAGCCTCATTAATATTTATATTCATCCTTTTTCTGCAGAGGTGACTCTTTACATAATGCAGTGTTCTGCCTGTTGCCAGGTTTCCAAAGCCAAGTCAGATACCATGTAACTGAGTAGAGCCTGTCAAATGGAAATTAAATGTATCAGAGAAGGACAGATTAAACTCTATACGGGTGAATTCAGTTTTTCCATGACTCACTGAGCTGTTTTGAGGGTCATAGACTCCTATCAAACTAGTGTCCATATGGTTGCAGCAGAAACTACAACGCAAAAGAAAACTGACACATGCGGATCTTTGCCAAGAGAAATTTTTCTAGACCAATGATACTAACTACAGTGCACTACTTCATCAGAACAAAGGCTATTCTAAAAACCCTGGAACAAGATAGCTATGAACTTCCTGTCTACAGAGAAATATAGAGTACAAACAGGTCTTACAAATATAGAGATTACAAACAGGGAAATGTAAAAAATGGCATAAACCTGCAAGGGCTGGTGTCTCAAGGTCCTACCCTGTTAGTTACATTTAAGCCTGACTAAGGCATTAGAAAAATGTACAGTGAAAATTGAGTACCACTAAACCTGGACATAATTATAATGCGACATTCAAAAAGGAAAACCGAGTGCCTGTCTGGTTAGAAATGAGATCTATAAAGTGCTCAACCTTTCATTTTTAATTTGAAGTTTAAATACTATTACACTCACATTATGTGGCTCCTCTATATTAAGCAATCGCTACATCAACTTGTAATAACTACTTTCCTGACACCTATCATACTGTGTTTACAGCTGGAGAGCCAATAAAAGGGGAACACAGCTCTCTTTGTTAAATCAACATTTAATAAACAAATTGATGTGCACAGGTAGGTATATGGCAACTGTCCCACCGCTAGCTAAATTAAAAAGTCCTGTCTGTTGGTTGTGAGGCCTATATTTTATTAGAGGAACATATGACTTTTCAGATCAGCATTCAGAAAATTTTAGCTAACAGATTGCTCTCCACAGATACATTCAAATTAATCAAGTGATTATTGAAAGTACCTGGACTATCCTGTTGCAGTTTCCTTTTACTAAA